GCTCAGCAGTAGTGTCTGTGTTTTAAAAGGAAATTCAGGCATGCTGAGCAGGATCAGTGTCAAGTTTCAAAGCAGGCGTTGAAAATAAACAAGAAACATCCTTAGCTTGGCTGATAGTAAGCTGGCTATCATCCGGGCCCACAGCCATTGAGTCATTCTCACTTTCAGATTCCTTCTCTCTGCCCCTCCTGTGACATGAGATGGTATGCAGCCCTGCAGAGAAGGCAGCGAAAGCCAGTCTGGGTTTACAACCGGGTTGACCAGCCTGCCTTTTCCCTGCCCATGCATGCCTCTCATCATCCTAATTGTGGCATGCTGGCAATCTTAAAATGGACCTGGAGGTTACAGACTCTTCCCCCTCCACTGCCTAGAAAAAAGCCTTCTCTGTATCAACTTCCCGGAGAGAAACTGACACGTTTGCAGACTTAAATGTACCTGACATGAAAACCTTGATCACAGCAAAAGTCTGGTCCCACCTACAAGCTGAAATGGCACTCCTGTTTTGAAAGAGGAACATAACTTTATACCTTTTTACCCATACAGTGATTTCTATGCATGTCTACCCATCAATGTCTCACTGAGCATATTCTGAGCATTGTGATGCTCATTGTTTTAGATGATTGACCACCAGTGTTCAAAACGCCCAGCCAGCCATTGAGACAAAAACAGGGAGAACTTCCTTATCAGTTTTCAGGAGTGTGGGAGTTCTGACTTGTATGCACAAGAGGGCGCTGCTGGCTGATGTTTTATTTAATATTTTCCCCCTTCACAGATGTATTTTAGAAACTGCTGCACCAACACTGCATGATAGGTATCAGAATTGGGGGGCTCAACACAACTTTTGTAAAGGATCCACCCACCACATGTTGCACTAATTCCAGGAAAGAACGAATGCCCCCCAATCTTCTTGCAATATTTCAATTGACTTTTCTAAGGGCAACAGTTTCCTGGTCAGAGCTTGGCCTGTTGTCATTCTTTTATTTGGAAAGAGTAGACACGTCAATCCTGGAAGTGAGCATTAGCACACTGAGAAGTTGCTTTGTTTTTCTAAGAGTCAGGACCATTGCAATAAATGTTCTTGTCCCAAATAGCCATTCTGCCACTCCTCTGAGGCATGCAATTTTGAGGCAACATGAGGCAATTTTTGCAGAAAATACCAGTGGTGCAACACTTCAAATTATGCACGGGATTCAAGAGTTGGCACCTTTTGCCTTTTTACAAAGGATTATTAGTTCCTCATGCTGCTATGCTATGGTGGTACTTTTTAAAAAATTCCCCTAAATCACTTCACAGTTTTTGGTTCTCCAGATGTCTTCAGCTTCCCCGAATCCCTGACCATGCTGGCTGGGACTTCTGAAGCCCATAATATTCAGAGGACCAAAATCTGAAATCCACAACCCAAAAGCAATGCTTCTTAAACTATCTGATATGGAAGTCTGGCTGGGTTTCCCCCTCAATGTGTCAGATAGTGACACCACATTAGTGTGCATTGAGTACAGCTGTTTTTCTCTTTCCTTAAAATTTGCTGTGGAATTTCAGCCATTAGCTTTCAGACTGGCATCAGTGCATGGAGCATCACTCTGAGTAACACTGCTGTTAAGCACTTGGCACCGCTTTAACTGTTGTTATTAACTGCTCTCAAGTTGACCTCAACTCATGACCACTTTGTGGATGAGACATCTGCAAGACCCCCCCGTCCTCAGTCTCTCTGCTCAGGTCCTGCCCTGTGTCCTCTCCGATTGTGTCTGGCCATCTGGCATGTGGTCTTCCTCTCTTTCTGCTGCCCTCCACTTTTCCTAGCATTATTAATTTTTTCTAATTATTCATTTTCCCCCATGATGTAACCAAAGTACAATAGCCTCAATTTAAATCATCTTGGCTTCCAGAGAGAATTCCTGCTTGATCTGTTCTAGAACCCATTTGTTTGTCTTCTTGGCCACCAGTGGTATTTTCAGTACTCTTCTCCAGCACCACATCTCAAATGAATTGATCTTCTTCCTATCAATTTGTCCATCTTTCACACCCATACATGGTGATGGGAAATACAATGGCTTAGACAATCCTCACTTTAATGTTCAGAGTTATGTCTTTACATTTTATGTCCTTCTCAATCCTAGTCTACTTATATAAATAAATTAAATTATTATTATTATTATTATTATTATTATTATTATTATTATTATTATTATTATTATTTCTTAACTGAGGTCTCTGTTCTGATCAATATTTGAACCAATGTATGGGAATTCTGTGACTATCTCTATTTTCTCATTGTCTAGAGTGAATTCTTATAGATCTTCCATGGTCATTATTTTTGGGGGGCTTTATTGTTCAGCATTAATCCAACCTAGGCACTTTCCTACTTGACCTTCTTCAGTGATTGAAGACTGTCTTTATTTGTTTCAGATAGTAGTATTGTGCTATCTGCATATCTTATATTGTTAATGTTCCTTTCTCCTGTCTTCACTCCTTCTGCCTCTGAGATTAATCCTGCTCTGTGTAGAATATTTTCGGCATACAGGTTGAATAAATCGGGTGATACTATGCAGCCTTGCCTCACTCTTTTGCCAATTGAGAACCACTAGGTTTCTCCACATTATGTTCTGATGGCAGCCTCTTATCCTGAGTACAGGTTAAGCATCAGGACATTCAGATGTTGTGACACTCCCATTCTTTTAAGCACAAGCCATAGCTTTTTGTGACTCTGTGCAGTCAAAGTCAAGAAAGCACATGCAGAATTTCTTTCTGGAATTCCCAGGTACTCTCTATTATTAAACATATGTTTGCAGTGTCATCCCTAGTGCCTCTTCCTTTCCTGAATCCAGCTTGCACCTAAAGGATTTCACTATTCATACATGGTAGGAGTCTTTCATTCAGGATTTTGAACATGATTTTGCCTGCATGGGAAATTAGTGAGATGCTTCAGTAATTGCTGTAATCTTTTGTGTCTCCTTTTTTATAAATGGGAATATTGATCTCTTCCAGTTTGTGTACCACTGCTTTGTTTTCCATACATGTTAGCAGATTTAATTAAAACTAAACTTGACTCTGACTCTGTGGATTGTAGCAGTTCTATTGGTATGCCATCTGTTCCTAGTGATTTGTTCTTTGCTATTGCTTTGAGTGCGGCTTTCACTTCACTTTAATTACCATGGCTCAATACTTAAATTGGTCTAAGAAGATCCACAAGTTACATATGACTCACTCAAAAATGGAGAGAGCATCATTCTGAGACATTATGTGCCACCATGAGCAAGTAGTAGTTGTGGGGAATAATTCTGTTATTTGTAGGGTTGGGGGTCTTTTTTTAGCATTCTGTGTCAGAGAACTCTGGTGCCACAACAAGCTACAAATCCCAGGATTCCATAGCATTGAGCCATGGCAGTCAAACCAGTGTCAAGCTGCATTATTTCTGCAGTGCATATGAAAGCTCTGATATGTAGCCTTGTCTGTAATAAAGAAGAGCTTTAGGAAGCTGCCATATATCACTCTCATCTAGTCTGATATTCTACAGTTGGCAACAACTCTTCAGGGACTTGGGCCTTTTACTCTAGTGGTAGCAATGTTCATTAAATCTACTTCATTCTGTACTGCAACCTCAAGATTTACCAAGTGTTTGGTGCAAAAGATATATAAGATATGGGTATCAGAAAAAGATGGCTCCTCAACCCAGAGATATTCAGTAGCTTTAAATCAGAATTTTAACACAGCAAGGTGGAGCAAGCCAAAACATTTCCTCCAGGTGGAAAAGGTTATGCATATTTCTCCAAACTGCACAAACGAGTTTGACATACCTAGCCTAATAAATCAGTCCAATTTACTTGACTCTAATAATTGAGTGCCTTGCTAGGGCCTGGGTAGATTGTTACATTGTAATTTTATAGGGTCATTTTATTAGATTACGGGCACACGTTCTGCAGAAAATTGGCAGTAAAGCAGGAACCATTTGTTCGAGTCTGCCACTGATGCTAGGACAGATATTCCATCCAAATGCAAAATAGCACGTTGTTGGAACAGCCAGAGGGGTAGAAAACAGGATTTTGGGATAGTTGTGAACTGTGGGTTTTGGTAGGGAAATTGGAACATACAAGAGGGAAGTTATTTAGAAAGCTGTAGGAAGTACAATTAACCCTACAATTATGTATTTTTGCATCCCCTCCTAATTTTCCCCATAGTAATTTCACTCCCACAGTTCCCTACCACAATCTGGAAATGTAGTGGTTGGATTTATACAGACCTTGTGCATTATGGGGTCACTGGCAGAAGTGAAGACTATACCATGTTGGTCTATCTTCTAAGCCATCTCCAGGCTAGGGGCCTCCAGTTTTATTTAGCTGCTACCTGCATACTTGTAGGGTATAAGGGGAGTCTTAGTCAAGCATCTTGAGGGTGCCATGTTGAGGGTCTACTAGTAGTTTGGGTTGTGTGTATAGGAAGGGCAATACAGTTATATATATTGCAGGTGGTGCTTTCTGTTCAACTAAATGGATTTGATACAAATGAAGGTATCCAATAACCTTAATAGGAATCAGGACACATTTATTTCAGCAGAAAGCACCACCTGTAGAATATCCAGCTGTATTCCTGAGAGCTAGCGTGGTCTGAGCAATGGACTATGACTCTGGAGATCAAGGTTAGATTTCCTGCTTGGCCATGGAAACTCACTAGGTGACCATGGGTAAGTCCCACACTCTCAGTTCTAGAAAACCTTAAGGTTTTAATAGGTTCATCTTAAGATTGCCATAAGTTGGAAACAAAAGTACACAAGAACAAGCTACTAAATCTATAGCCCTGAAGTAGAGACCATTTATTTTTTCTATAGAGGCTGCTAGCCCATTTGTTGCTATTGTATGCCTTCTAGTCTTTTCCTTCTTATAGTGACCCAAAGGCAAACATATCATGGGGTTTTATTGGTAAGATTTGTTCAGAATGAGTATGCCTTTGGCTTCCTCTGAAGCTGAGAGAGTGTGACTTGCACAAAGTCACCCAGCAGGTTTCCATGGCAATCAGGGATTTGAACGATGGTCTCCAGAGTCATAGTCCAGTGCTCAAACCGCTATGCCACTTTGGCTGTCTCAATAGCTCATGAGAAAAGTTAAAACTTAATGACAGTTCCATCTCTTTTCCTCTCTTTCTGTCACTCCCTGTTCTCTCTACTTTTTTCACAGCAAGAGAGCACCTTCATGTGTATGCTGTATAATCCCAAGGTGGATTTGCGTTTCCCTGTAACCACTGCCTGTAATCTGAAACCCCATGGGGGATCTTATTCATGAACTTTGCAGTACACCATATTGATCCCAGATCCTAGTATTATGCAGGTAGAAGAAGAACCTTCTAATGCAGGGGTAGGCAACCTTTCCCCTTTAAGGGCCGAGGGACTTCAGCTCCCAGAATCCCAGGAGCTATTGGCCAACATGGGACAATTGGCCAACATGGCTGAGGCTTCTGGGAGCTGAAGTCCCTCGGCCCTTAAAGGGGAAAGGTTGCCTACCCCTGTTCTAATGTTTCCAAAACATTCATATTTTTGCTGTTCTCTGTTATGCCCTCCCCTTTATCTTTTTCAGAAACCCGCCAATTATTTTATTTTATTTTATTTGAAGAACAGTAAAAACTGTGTAACACTCTCAGGGATGGGCATCTCATCAAACAACTATTCCTTTCACCGCTATTCATTTCCTAGTCACCACTATTCCTTTCCTATTTCTCATCGTGTTAATCAGGGGTAGGCAACCTTTCCCCTTTAAGGGCCAAGGGACTTCAGCTCCCAGAAGCCTCAGCCATGTTTGCCAATAGTCCCATGTTGGCCAATAGCTCCTGGGATTCTGGGAGCTGAAGTCCCTGTCCCTCGGCCCTTAAAGGGGAAAAGTTGCCTACCCCTGGTGTTAATGAACTGGTCAGGCAGCAGAGAAGGAAAATATCCTTGAAAAATATCTACTACAGGTTGCACCTCCCTTACTCAGAATTTCAAAATCTGAAATACTCTAAAAACCAAACCTTTCTCCTGGAAAGTATCTAAATGGAACCTTTCTCCTGGCTGAATGTAAATGGAAGTGTAAATCACTTAGATCAGATCACAGTGAGTTTAGGTCACAAATTCTTGCCCTCCAAGTGTTTCGAGTTCCCAGAATGCTTGCTAATGGCCATACTGGGTGGCACTTCTGGGATTTGAAAGTCCAAAAAATCTAGAGGAAAGTTTGAAAATCATTGATTTAGATCTTTTTCTACTATCGGCTGCTATGGCTCCAATTCCCTATGCTTTGCACCACAAAATGTGCTCTCTAATGGGATGTTTGCATATTTATCTGGAGCATTTATACCTTATATTTTTGTCAAAAAGTTCCTTGAGTGGCTTACAAATAATTAATTTGACAGTTCCTGCCCTCAGGTTTATAATTTCAAATAGAAAACAGCACACAAGGAAAAAGGGAAGGTGAAGGATGAGATGAATTGGATTCATCATGCTACCACTCAGCTGATGCATTTCTGCTCACTTTTAGCAGGTCGGTAGTGATGGCAAGAGATTTTGCTGGACTTGCAGAGAGAAAATTTACACATTGCCTTGTGCATTTGCATGGTTTCCAGGACTTTTCTCAGGGGAAACAAATAAGGGATGAAATGCATTAAAACTGTGTGACTTTTAAGGTGAAGGGGAAAATGCAAAAAAGCTTAAATCTAGTTGCAGGTGGGAGGAAACCCATTCAATCGGTGGAACCTACATAAGTGTTGATTTACCATTCAACTGTTGATTTACTGGTGCTCTTGTTAGGTCTAGTTCTGTAATTGGATTTAGGCCAAAGTCTCACAGTCCAATATAAAACAAAGACAGGATGGGATAACACAATGAAAATAAAAGATTTTTACATCCTAGCTGGAATGTGTGCCCACTTTGCCATTACCTCTCCCTAACACACTTGGAGCATAAGTGTTGATGCAGTTGGGGTGGCGATGTGTGGTTTTTCCATTGCATTGGTTATTTCTCCTTGCCTATCCCTTCCACTCAAGCGGTTCACAACCGTTTCCCAAGATTGGGTCAATACTGATGTATACTCAATATTGCAACTCCATCCCCCAAGGCTTCCTGTATCCACAGCCCTGGGTCACTGAGAAAGGGGACTCAGTTATTGGATTGCATCGCTCCTCTTCAAATCCTCCCTCCTGCCCCCAACCAGTCTATTCAGGGTCCTTCTCTGCATCTGTTCATTCCCAGCACCTCTGTAATCCGTTCTTTGGCCTTGTGGCAATGGAGGTTGCTCCCCACAGAGGTAAAGTCACTGTGGACAATTGGGCTCCTGGTCACCACGACAACCATTAAATTGCTAGCCCTTCTTTTTCACTCAGTCAGATTTCACACTCGCAATGCCATGCCGAGTCTTAGATTGCTTTAGATGGGACAGGTGAATCCCCCATATATATATATATATATACACACACACACACACATATACACAGGTCAAGCTGTGTGGCCAGTTTAATTAGCTCTCATCTGCACTGGAGGAGGCAGGTCACTGGCCTGCTGTTACTTGTTGAATAAGAATGGAGGCAGGGAGCTCTTCATGCCAAAGGAAGATAGCTATGAAGAGTGCAGTTGCTCTATCCTGGGTGGACAACAGTGATAGATCTTGGGGCCACTTTTGTGCCCCAGAATCCTCTGGACCCCACAGAAATCAAACAAAAACCCAAAGTGACTGGAAGTCTGCTTCCGATTCTCAAAAATCAGGTTTGGGTTTGGGTTTTGTTGTTTGTTTGTGTTTGTTTGTTTGCTTTTAAAATTAAACAGTACAAGAAGTCCTTGATATACCTATTCAAACAGTGCAGGTTGCATCTCCCTTATCTGAAATGCTTGGGAACAGAGGTGTTTTGGATTTCAGATTATTATTATTATTATTATTATTATTATTATTATTATTATTATTATTATTATTATTATTATTATTATTATTATTATTGAATGCCTACACTTCCAAGTCACACTCTCTCCACCTCAGAGGGTGGCATGGCAAACCCCTCTGAAGAAACCTGCCAAGAAAATCCCATGATAGGTTCACCTTAGGGTTATCATAAGTTGGAAATGACATGAAGGCATGCAACACCAGCAACAAAACTTCCATGTAAATACCTAATGAGATATCTTCAAGATGGGACCCAGGCCTAAACACAAAATTAATTTATGCTTCTGATATGCATAGCCTGAAGCATGTGGAAGGATTATTTCGACAATGTCCCATGTCCATATTCAACTGACAACAGCGGGAGCAGAGCAAAACATGCAGAACTTTTACACATGGTTACATGGTACAATGAGTCCTATTCCAGAACATGCGTTGTGCACTTCTATATGGGTGTTGTGTCATTTTAGCATAGGTTATTTCCATCAGCACTTATTTACACTATAATATGATGATATAGGATTGCAGCCTATGAGGGTCCCAGAGAGAGAGAGAGAATTGATATCCTAAATTAATGCCTGAGCATCCATACTGTGGAGGGCATCCCTGCCCAAAGGCCTTGCTGTATAAACATGCAAGACCTGCCAAATGGTCTTTTTGTTCCCCCCTCTCCTTGCTTAGGAGAGAAAAGCAAATTGAAAAGGCTAGTGTGGATCCAGCTGAACAGCGAGGCCCCTCTGCAATTCCGAGCACAGCTTGTAGCCTTTCTGTGCCAGAGGAGCTGGCAAAACTGGAAGGCTTTGGCAAACCCTGAGGCCCTTGTGTGCTTTTAATGAAGTGCCACATGTCTGAAAAGGAGCCCACAGCATCTCGGACCCACCTGCCAGGGAATCTGTCCATGCAGCTGGGCTGCAACTAGGCTCCTTCCCAAGGCACCTGCTCCCATCATCCCCATCATTGCTGAGAACAGATGCCTGGAGCAGGTGACTCAGTCACCACCCTTCCACAGCAGCTGGTTGTTGAGGCTAGATTTAGGCTCTGCCTTTCCTCCTTTTTGGTAACTCTTTGTGGTCAGTGGACACAAACAAAAATCCTTTGATTTATTACTGTCTTTCTTGTGTGCTGTACTTTTGTGATGGACCCCTTGCCTACTGTCTTTTATGGATTTATTTTAAATGATTTTAATTCTGTGCATAGATTAATTACGTCTTAATAACATTTTACTGATGTCTTTGCATTTTTAAGTATCTGAGTTTGGGGAAGAAGCCAGACAGAAATGAGTAAGTAACAACCGCTACCACCACCACAACACAGTAGTTAGAAGCCTTTAGTGAGCACGATGTGACTTGAGTTGGATGAAACCTGTGGATCTCATTAAGGCCACCTTTCCACCAACCTCTTTTACCATCATTTGAGCCCTGCTCTCCTCCCTCTCTGCTATTGGTTTACTGAGTTATTTCACCACTTTGTCAATAAGTCAAAAATGTTAAACCTTCATTTGAATGATCCCTACAAAGCACAGGTTTGATGCTCATTGGCAATGCCTAGACCACTCAAAACACAGCTCAGACACAAACCTGTGGGTGGCATGCACATGAGCAAGTGCATCATGTATGCATATGGCCCTTTTTGGACAGACTGCAGGGAAATATTTTCTTGCCCTTGTGCTCCATCCCAAAACCTAACCCCAGGCACCTGTCAAGATCTGTAAGGAGCTTCTCCTGCTGCTTTTCACCAATGGAACGGGAGGGAGGCAATTTAGACCATAACAATATGGCTATTCTGGGTTCCTGGGGGAAGGAAAAGGATGATGCACAACATCCATAAGCACACACTCATTCCTCCCAAAGCTGAGTCCAGCTGCAACTTCATAGCATTGGCATTTAGCAATAGCATTTACATTTCTATACTGATTAATAGTGAACTCAGCACTCTGTAAGCCAATTGCCCCCAACAAGATGGGTACTCATTTTACTGACCTACAGAAGGATGGAAGGCTGAATCAACCTTGGAGCATTGGGACTGAATTCACAACTTTGTGGCTGCAGTACTGGAATTAAACCACTGTGCCACCCTGGCTCTTTCATGGTCTGAATTGCCTTCCCTTTCCCTCTCCTCCCCACTAGCAAGCAGTAGAAGCATCCCCTCCTAGGACCTGACAGCTCTCGTGGGGAGAGTGGGGAGA